ACGAAAATTACGATTTTCAGGCTGTTTTCATTTAATATTAAAAAATTCACTATTCACTCAAAAAACATAAGAACAATCTGAAAATCTCAGGATATGATTAATGTTGACCGCTAAACGTGATTATAAGTTCGACGAAATCGAAAAGCATATTTTTGTTAACAGGTTATCCAGAAACCCTTTTGGAAAACCTTAGGGCTTTTTAAAACTTATTCGAGATATCCTATAAGTAGGATATCGAATACCTTAAATACTCTACATTCTAAAGTTTTGCACTCATTCTTATGTTTTTTGAGTGAATAGTGAATTTTTTAATATTAAATGAAAACAGCCTGAAAATCGTAATTTTCGTAAAACTGGCTCTTCGGTAGATTTTTAAAACTTTTTCTAAAAACAAATATTGCCACGAGACGCAGCATGATCGATTATCCATAGTTCATCCGTCTTTAAGGCTACCAAGAGTCATCGGGTGCCAGTCCTGGGACTCGTCGGAGATCTGATACAACGCACGAACCGCAGAAAAATCAAGGTCTCACTTTAGTCCCATTTTAAAGAGAAAATCACGGGCTATCAGCCAATGAAAAAACATTAATACATTCCTATGTGAATTTCGGCAAATCCAAGCTAGTTTTCCAAAGATCCTCTGAAAAACGCGCTTCAGAAGCTTTTCTGAAATTCGATTTTGCTTACAGAAATATGTGGTCAGGTGTCTAGTTTTCAAAACTGAAAACTGCAGATCTCTGTCTCATTTCTGTGAAAAGTTATTCGAAAAATATCCGAGACCATTGTATTTTGAATGCATAGTGGTCATTCATATGATTAATAATATAATAATAGATCGCTGATAGATATACGTTAAAATCTGTAAAACAAAGAAAGAAGACGGCGAAATTGACTTTGGGTAAGCCTCTATAACATATCAGTCTTAATCAGACTCACATAAATAGTTATTATGAAGCTTACAGTTTAATAGATGTCTGCATATTTCCTATATTTCTAGAAACTACTGTGTTCTGTACTTTTCTGACTTTGACTTATTTTAAAGATAAAACGGTGATCACATAGAATTTCATTGACTTGAAAACAATAGTCTTTCAATCCATACGGCGAACACATGTTATCTGTCTGTCGATAAGTCCAGTGTTATATTTCAAATGTTTTCAATTTTAAGGAAAAGGTTGAAAAACGTTTCTTGCATCGTTAGGCATACAAACTGTTTTACCTTATTGGATATAGAAACTAATCCATGTCTCTGAATGCTAATCTAATTTGATGAATATCCAGTACGGTTACTTTGTAACACATTTAGGTCTCTATCTTTCCCTTAGCAGTAACAGTAATGACATTTCCGATTATGCACTTAACTATTATTTAAGGATGTATATGAATACGAGATCTTAGGCTTATGTTTACTGACGCCGGAACTACTACAATATATAATTTGAATCGATACATTCCTCTCAAATTCCTTCTCTAATAGCGGACTTAATCATTTCGACTCAAGTCGCGGTAGGAAACGTTAATTGTGGCAGAGGTGAGTACATTGTTTGCATTGCGTCAGTTGTTCGAGACAACTGGGTTCTTTCAGACGCTTAAATGAGTATATGGTTCGACAGGTTGCATGTGATTATATGCATTCACTTTAAATTCTATCACATGTCTTTTTTTCAAAACACGATAGAAACTGGCAAAATGATTATTTGAAAAAATTTTCTATACGTTGATGACAAAGAGAGAACATTTTCCATCATGATTTTCTATCAAAGTTAAATTGGTTTGATCGATACTACGTTTCGCAGTGCTGATAAAACTAATCTGTTGTATGATTTACCTCATAGTCGCATGAATCAACAGCTGAATATTACTTGTTCTATAGAAGTCTCTACATTTTCTTCAATTCTGGGAATGATCAGTGCTGTTAAAAATTTCTGATTTCCATTCGTTTCCTTCTATAATTCTACAAAACATTTATACGATTTAATTAACTGTGGCTGCACAAAAACACCTATTTTAATTCTGTACATTTTGCTAAAATTATCACACTGTTTCCTAGTGAATGTACTAGCCCAAGTGCTCGTACCGCTTTTTTTTCCAACTCTCCTGGGATTCTTTTCGCAAGTAAACCAAGTGCTTGAATTACTTTACCTTCTTGTCAAGTACCTAACTGAGCACTTAACTATCTGTGAGAGATACAACAAATAACTCAAGTATCTGGTAAATACTTATAAGTATTTGAATAAATAATTATCAAATTGTATTTAACAAAAGTTATTCGCCATGTTTCTCTAAGACTTGTCAAGTGCTCACGAAGCACTTATAAAACTTTACAAGTGAATAAGTATTCGCTTCTAAGTAAATTTACGGGGGTGTGCACTAGTGTCCAATGCGAAAAAAAGTTTCGAAATTTTGAAATTCATTCAAATTGCTCAGTTTCCGATTAAAAACTCTAGATTTTATGCGAAAAGTTGCCAAATTCAGTAAAACAGTTATCGCCTGATGAAATAGTCAGAAAATATTTACTCTTCGCTAACAGAATAGAATAAGACAGACGTCTTCAGAATTCTATGGTAGATGACGTATTTTCAAATATCCTGGAAATCTTTAGAGTTCTGTATATTCCCAACTTTTTTTGGGTAAAAGTAAATGTTTATACGTCGAACTGTATGTAATTTAGTCTGTTATAGAATCCTAAGAGAATAAGATTATTGTGTTTTGTAGAATGTCGTACAATTCTGTAATAATTGTACAAAGTACATGAGACGTTTGTTTGTGTTTCATAATATTTTATAATATTCTATAGCATTCTAGGTAAAGAAAAATGTTGAGATTCCTAAAAAATTATTTTTGGTTATGTGAATTTACTGTGAATCTGATAAGACAAACTTCAGAAGGAAATAGATTTTACTAAAAATCGTTTAAAATAGAAGAATTCGGACATATTAATATATAGCGTGTATTTCAAAGATAAAAGTACGCTAAACATTTATTTTTGTAATTACTGTTAGCTATGGCATTGAATAAAATCGATTGACATTTCATTTTAAAGCGGTGATGACTTTCGAAAATAAAAATTTTGATTCTGTCTTTATCCAGTTGAAAAAGACCAAAATCTGTTCAGACACTATGAAAATTTTAGAAATTGGCTATAGTTACATCATGTGACTCTATTATATAGAAAAAACAAAAGATAAAAATTCACGTTGTCATTTTTTTCTTTTCTTTTATTAAAAATTAATTCATAGTTAAAAATTAGAGCAAAATATTATCTGATCTTATATTGCAACGTCACAAAAATAATCGGACGTATAAATAAGAGTTGATATCAGTTTTGCAGGAGTTCCAACGTAAAAAATGATCTCAGCTGTTTTTCTGTGTCTTATTCTGGCTGTTGTGACCACCAGTGGAGGTCCTGTGTCTGGTGATTGTGGTGGAGAGAAAAATACCAAACCTATTATTAAAGATGAACCAACACTTGTTAGTACAACAACCAACGGAAAAAGATATGTTGTTGGTAGTGGATATAACAAAATCAATATCGTACACCTTTATGGTGCTCCTTACGAAATGGGACAAGCATTAGGTATTAGTAAACTCTAGTTTTTACTATGCTACTATGTTTGTCTAATTCATCTTTTTAGGCACATTGATGAAAGACGAACTTAACATGCTTATTGCTGAATATTTTTTGTATCTTGAAAAGCAAATAGACCAGATATTGAAAATAGTGCCACCCTTTATTGCACAATGGATATCGGAGAAAGGATTGAAAGGAGCTCTAGATTTAAACTATGAGATTACTCGTCTGTACACTCCACCATGGTATGATGAAGAAATGAAAGGCATTGAAGCGGGAAGCGGAGTTTCGTACGAAGATATCAGACGACTAAATTTGCTGCCTGAATTAATAAAAGCTGCATGCAGTGTTATCGGAGCATGGGGTAACTCGTTAAGTGAAAGCAAGAGAGAAATCAACACTAGTTTATTACATTTAAGAGCATTGGACTGGGATAAAAATGCGCCTATTGCTAAATACGCTACAATTGTTGTTTATCATCCGTCAGCATCCTATAGTGGATATGGAAATCTGTATAAATATTATAAGCATAATTATGCCTCTCATGCTATGGCAAATTTCGGGTATCCGGGCCTAGTGGGCTCAATAACTGCTTATAGCGAAGCATCGGTTGGATTAGGTGAAAAGGTATGGATAACAGCTAAAGGGGATGATATTACCACTCGTTTAGGAAATCCTTGGACATACGTATTGCGAGATGTAGCTCAATTCAGTTCAGATTTAGAAACGGCATTGACAATGATGATAAATGCTAAACGAACGTGTTCAATTCATTTGGGACTGGGAGCAGTAAATCGAAATCAAACATTATTTGAAGAAGTACAATTTCGAGGAGTGGAATACAGTGAAAAAGAATTAAATTTTTATAATTGGAATGACATGTTTGAAAATCGAGGACATCCGCTTATCAAAGATATCGTCTATTGGGATAAACATGTTCAACCATCCGACAATCCATGCTTATCAAGTTTATTAACTGCACAATACGGTAATCTAGATGCAGAGACACTCATTCGTGAAGTAACAAGTGTTTCGGAAACAGGAGACACTATGAACGCTATATTTGATTACGGAGAGAATGCTGTCTATATAGCTTATAGCGCTCCTCAAGATCCGGAAGGACCACTCGAAGCATACAAACGTAGTCATACTCGTATTGACATGGGCAAACTCTTCAATGAAAAACTCTAAGTAAAATACGCTGTTAAAAGAAGTATTATAAAACAATTTTTTTATTTTGATTAAACTACGATCGTACTTATGTTAAAAAACACCTACTGATACGTCGGACTGTCAACTTTCGCGAAGAACGCATGTCAGAGACTATCAGAACATTAACAAATATTAACAAATATTTTCTTGAAATTAAATTGATTGTTAGTACACAAGGACAGTGTACGAGTTCAGTAAAACAAGCAACTTGTTTTAAAGAAACATTTAAATTAGTTTTGAGTTGTATAAAGAATTGGCTTCATTTTAATACATAAGCATTCTTTTTGCAACGAGTCGAACAATCTCAACAACAACATCAAATGCAAAATAGCAAAGGAAAACAATAACTATTGTGGTTATCTTCATCGAGCGTATATAAAGCGAACTTATATCCTGAGATGTGAGTTTCATCATTTTTTTTCATTGTTTTTTGCAAAATTTTTGCTTTAAAGTGGTTTACTTTTGAAAGCTTCCAAATCGAAGCCGAAAAGAAACGCCCTAAAGACTGTTAATAAAGATACATTTTTCCAAGCAGCCGCACGGACGTACTCATTAATAATTCCGGATCCACTTAGGTGATATTTAAATCTATGTTTATAAAATTTTATATGTTACGCTGTAATCATTTGATTTACCACATAGTTCTTTGATGCACCATTGAAAAAGATTTTACCCAGTACAAACGTCTGATATTACTAAATTTGTTTTATTATAATTTTCAATAACCGCTCTATGGTAGAGAAATCAAGCATCTAAAAGCCAAACAAATTTCTGATCATCTAACAAGTGTCAATCTATGTGATTAGGTGGTTCGTGAATTATAAAAATTTTCTTCATTTCAGTAGAATACTAATAACTTCTGATCAAAGCGAGACGAATACTCTCATTTTTCTACCAAAATGTAGTGATGACCGTTGTCTGCCTATAGTGATAATCTTTGCTAGTAAGAATTTATAGCCTTTGTACGACTAACACTGATTTCTGATGTGTGAAAAAATATTCACTCAATCCTAAAAAATGTTTTACACAAAAAAATTTCAGAAAAATACCTTACAGTATCTGTAGATTACTCATCTCAAGTTTCACCTAATTGTGAGGCGTGCGTTTTATTTTCTACAGTAAGTAGATTCCCGGGCCATATATGGACTTCTCACTGATTCCGATTCTTTGAAACAGTGTGTACCGTGGTCAGTCTTACAACGGACGGCTATAATTTTTCACTAGTAGAGATCATCACTGTAGACAGACAACAGTCATCACTACATTTTGGTAAAAAAAATGAGAGTATTCATCTCACTTGGATCAGAAGTTATCAGCATTTTACCGAAAAGAAGAAAATGTTTATAATTCACGAATCACCTAGTCACATAGGTTGATACTCGTTAGATAATTAGAATATTGTACAAGATATCCAGCTAAAGCTAAGATGCACCCAGGGCAGCCTTGCAGTGAAATTTATTTTTCGACACTTCATACACCATTCGATAGAGAATTTCGCGGTGATCACGAATATCACTTCCAAGGCTCTCAGAACCCTTTCCTCACTGAG